AAGGTCCACAGTGTGTCATCCCATGTGCCACTTTCAGGTCTCCTCACACTGCTGGTGTGTTTCATTTTGTCATAGGGTGCTGGCAGATTACGGGCCTCCCATAGCTGCTGCCAGGCCCCTAATCTGCCATGGGCCCCTGTACCGCCTCCTCACGCTGCTGCAAGTTCCACAGTGTCTCATGGGTCCCTGTACCACCTCCCATTGCTGCTGCCAGGCCCCTAATCTGCCATGGGCCCCCGTACCGCCTCCTCATGCTGCTGCCAGGTCCACAGTGTGTCATGCCATGTGCCCACTTTCAGGTCTCCTCACACTGCTGCTGGGTTCCATTTTGTCATAGGATGCTGGCAGATTACGGGCCTCACATTGCTGCGGCCAGACCCCTAATCTGCCATGGGCCCCTGTACCGCCTCCTCACGCTGCTGCAAGGTCCACAGTGTGTCATGCCATGTGCCACTTTCAGGTCTCCTCACACTGCTGGTGTGTTTCATTTTGTCATAGGATGCTGGCAGATTACGGGCCTCACATTGCTGCGGCCAGGCCCCTAATCTGCCATGGGCCCCTGTACCGCCTCCTCACGCTGCTGCAAGGTCCACAGTGTGTCATGCCATGTGCCACTTTCAGGTCTCCTCACACTGCTGGTGTGTTTCATTTTGTCATAGGATGCTGGCAGATTACGTGCCTCACATTGCTGCGGCCAGGCCCCTAATCTGCCATGGGCCCCTGTACCGCCTCCTCACGCTGCTGCCAGGTCCACAGTGTGTCATGGGTCCCTGTACTGCCATGGCCCCCGTACCGCCTCGTCACGCCCCCCCCATTGCTGCTGTCTCCATCGCCACACTCTGCCATGTGCCACTTTCAGGTCTCCTCACACTCCTGCTGGTTTCCATTTTGTCATAGGTTGCTGGCAGATTACAGGCCTCCCATAGGTGCTGCCAGGCCCCAAATCTGCCATGGGCCCCCGTACCGCCTCGTCACGCTGCTGCTGGGTCCACAGTGTGTCATGGGTCCCTGTACGGCCTCCCATTGCTGCTGTCTCCATCGCCACACTCTGCCATGTGCCACTTTCAGGTCTCCTCACACTCCTGCTGGTTTCCATTTTGTCATAGGTTGCTGGCAGATTACAGGCCTCCCATAGGTGCTGCCAGGCCCCAAATCTGCCATGGGCCCCCGTACCGGCTCGTCACGCGCTGCTGCTGGGTCCACAGTGTGTCATGGGTCCCTGTACCGCCTCCCATTGCTGCTGTCTCCATCGCCACACTCTGCCATGTGCCACTTTCAGGTCTCCTCACACTCCTGCTGGTTTCCATTTTGTCATAGGGTGCTGTATGGCCTCCCATTGCTGCTGCCTCCACCGCCACACTGTGGCTCCAAACTCTGGTTTTGGCCCCGTGACTGCCCAAATGAGTGAAGTGTGCGTGCGGTGATTCTAAGATCGACGGCACTCATCTGCATGTCATACTGACTGACAGTATTATTTCTCTTCCCCAGCAGACTCCAAGGGCATTTAAATTAAAGGTACAGTGTTCTGCACTAATATAAAGGCTCTCTGAAGCCTAGAAACACCCTTTTTTAAGTTAAATTCACAGCGAATATATTCGACTCAAATCAAATTTTTTCCACGAATTCGCCGAATCAGTCGAATTGAATTTTTGAATACTTCGCTCATCTCTAATAACGATACCAAATGTGTGAGATTCTTCCACAAAGTTGTCCTTTTTGCTACTCCTCCTGTGTATGGTGATACCACATGTGTCAGACTTTTCCACAGCCTGACCACATAGAGAGGCCCAACATGCAAGGAGCACCATCAGGTGTTCTAGGGACATAAATTACACATCTAATATCTTGATTACCTATTACACTTTACCCACAAAATGACCCCAAACACTCCAACATATATTCTGTGATACAAATACATTCTGCTACTCGTCCTAAGTATGGCAATACCACATGTGTGAGACTTTTTAACAGCCTGGCCACATACAGAGGCCCGACATCCAAGTAGCATCGTCAGGTGTTCTAGGGACATAAATTACACCAGCGTTTTTCAACCACTGTGCCGCGGCACACTAGTGTGCCGTGAGATATTGTCTGGTGTGCCGTGGGAAAAATTGCAAATTCATCCGTAACATAGACCTTTTAATCCGGCCCGCGGAGCGTGATACTGTCAGGATGATCTGCCCCCCCTCGACGTATCTGCGCATGTGCCGGAGATCGCCGATCGGCTGCTAATGCCTGAAACTGGCACATGCGCAGATACGTCGAGGGGGACAGATCCTCATAGGAGACAGATTTTCATGCTACACCGGAACGGCGCGGGAAGACGGCGAGAGGAACGCGCGGAGCAAAGGTAAGTGAATTGACACAGGGGGGGCTTGGGGACTTAATATGGGGGATGAATTACTATATGGGGGATGAATTACTATGGGGGATGAATTACTATGGGGGATGAATTACTATGGGGGATGAATTACTATATGGGGGATGAATTACTATGGGGGATGAATTACTATATGGGGGATGAATTACTATGGGGGATTAATTACTATGGGGGATGAATTACTATATGGGGGATGAATTACTATGGGGGATGAATTACTATATGGGGGATTAATTACTATAGGGGGGATGAATTACTATGGGGGATGAATTACTATGGGGGATGAATTACTATATGGGGGATGAATTACTATATGGGGGATGAATTACTATGGGGGATGAATTACTATATGGGGGATTAATTACTATATGGGGGATGAATTACTATATGGGGGATGAATTACTATATGGGGGATGAATTACTATAGGGGGGATGAATTACTATATGGGGGGTGAATTACTATGGGGGATGAATTACTATGGGGGATGAATTACTATATATGGGGGATGAATTACTATGGGGGATTAATTACTATATGGGGGATGAATTACTATGGGGGATGAATTACTATGGGGGATGAATTACTATATGGGGGATGAATTACTATGGGGGATGAATTACTATATGGGGGATGAATTACTATGGGGGATGAATTACTATGGGGGATGAATTACTATATGGGGGATGAATTACTATGGGGGATGAATTACTATATGGGGGATTAATTACTATGCTTACTATGGGGGAATATTACTATACTTACTATGGATGACACATACACATCATTCATCTACTCTTGGTTCGGCCCCCGGGTCCAATTATAAAAATACTTTATTATTTCATAATAAAGTAATTATAAAATAATTTCTTTGTGTTTGATTCCTATTCAAGAGAATTACTTTATATATAGTCAATATAGGCAAAGAGGTACATTTTTTTAATATTTTCTAATGGTGGTGTGCCTCGTGATTTTTTTTCATGAAAAAAGTGTGCCTTTGCACAAAAAAGGTTGAAAAACACTGAATTACACATCTAATATCCAGACAACCTATCATTTTTGAAGTCCCTTCATTTTTTTAACACATAGCATGTGCATACCAAGAATTACACCCCAAAATACATTATGCTGAGAAAATAAGCAAAAGATTACCTGTGGTTTTAGTAGAGCAGTTGTCCACAGAGGAGAGCATTGGTCCAGGCAGCAGGCAGGGATGTGGTCAGTGACATCCAAAGCAATTGTCCAGGCAACAGACAGGATTATTGTCCATAGTCAGTACAGGAAGCAGGCAGATATATCGTCAGCACAGCCAAACCATTGGTCCAGGCAGAGATGTGGTCAGCAGCAGACAAAGGAATTGTCAAGGCAGAGACATGGTCAGCACAGCCAAAATATCAGTCCTGGTAGTAGGCAGTAACATGGTCCAGGTAGCAGGCAGCAGATGTGTGGACAGTTCATGCGGCAGGCAGAGGCATGTTGGCAACAGGCAGAAATATCAGGCTTAGGATCTTGGTCAGATAAGACCTGGGCACAGGGGTAGAGGCTTCGTCCCACCCATCTCTTTGAAGCCTCCGGACTAACAGACCCTTTTCCGGGAATTTTAAAACCCGGAGAAAACCAATAAATTAGTTTTCTCCCCTCCAAAAAACTATTCTGAAGCCCCTCACATATGTGAGACCCCTGTGTTATCTTGAATCCTACTACTACAGTAGCAGGGCAGAAGATCAGTCCAAGCAGCAGGCAAAAAACGTGGTCAATTAACAAGCCGAGGTCAGTTCAGATGGCAGGCAGAAATGTGGTTGACAGTTTAGATGGCAAGCAGAGGCATTGTCAATAAACAGGCCAGGGTCAGTTCCAGAGCAGGCAGAGATATGGTCAGTTTAGGCAGCAGGCAGAATCATGGTCGAATAACAGGCCAGGGTCAGTACCAGAACAGACAGAGGTATGGTCAGTTTAGGCAGCAGGCAGTGGTGTTGTCAAATAACAGACTTGGGTCATTTCAGGAGCAGGGGAGCAGGCAGAGGCAAGAGGATTGAATGGCCGGAAATTCAGAATTACGTTTATCATACTTCACTAATATTGTAGAGAAGTATGGTAACGGCAGAAACAGTCACCTATGCAGAGGCCTGGTTGGGAAGGACACTGAGGACAATAAAAACTGGTGTCTCCTCTAACTCCTCTTCTGGAACACACCCAACACTTTTTTTTTTTACATCTTTGACCTCTTTCTAAGGGAGGGACTTTTTCAGGAAAATGTCTTTCGTGGAGTCTACACACTGCATTCGAGCTAACACTTTCTGGTGGGCATCCAGGGTACAAAAGGGTAGTCACAATTTCCTCCTGATAGTGAAGAAAGCACATGGGTGTCTCGGTGGATTTCTGGTAGATCACGTATGTAATATAAATGGCCAAATTGAAAAAATAGAGACTTTTTTTTTTTTACCAATGGTGAGTTCTTCTTACAGCAAGGTAGGGCTGGATCATCTGATCATTGAAGTCGACTCCCCCATGAACAAATTATAATCATGGACACATTCTGGTTTTTGGATTGTGCCATTTCTTCTGGTTATTTGTATATGGGTGTCATTATGAATTGATGAGAGCATGTAGATGTCTCATTTGTCCCTCCACTTCATAGCCAATATCTCTTTGTTCCACAAAGTCACTGACTCCCCTCGCTGTAGTCTTGTGTTCACCAGCCTTTGCGGGAAGCCCTTCCTACTAGCTCTCATGGTGCCACATGCTAGTGGTCTCCTTCGGTGAAGATTGCGGAAAAGGGGCAAGCTGGTGTAAAAAATAATCATCATATAGATGATAACCCTTTTCAAGGAGTGGAAATACAAGCTCCCAAATGACTTTTCCACTTGCTCCAATATAAGCTGGGCATTCAGGGGGATGCAGTTGGGTGTCCTTTCCTTCGTACAGAAGGCATTCAAGTATCCCGTGGACCTGTTGCATAATTTATAGAGTTTAACCCCATATCGGGCCTCTTTGCTGGGGATAAACTGCTTGAAGCTCAGCCTGCCTCTGAAGGGGACATGCGTCTCATCCATGCAGATATTTTTGTTTGGGACAAATAATTGGGTGAATTTCTTGGAGAAAAAATTAAGGAGTGGATGAATTTTTTACAATTTATCATATGCTGGGTCATTTTGGGAAAGCACTGGGTGTTATCATTGTAATGGAGGAACCACATGATCATTAGATATCGTGTTCTAGGCATGACTGATGAGTAAATTAGCATATGGTGGATTGGGTGTGTAGACAAGTAGGAGTGCAATTAATTTTTTTTTTTTTGTAAGTCCCATATTAAATGTGAGGCCCAAAAAGGTTCTAATTTCCTCCACTGTTAACTGCTTCCATTCATAGGAATGGGCATAACTTGAATCTGGGTTGGTGGCTATGAATTGTTGGGCATAGAGGTTGCACTGGTCATTGGTAAAAATTACATTTTAAAAAATCAAAATTTTTTGTGTTCACCTGGACTCCTGGCTGGGCAGTAAAACGGGGGATGTTAGCTGCTCCAGAGTTAGGGGAAAGCCATAGGGGGTTTTGAAGGGCATAGCGCGGCATCGGTCCTAACCCTTTGGGGCTGAGGTGACACCCCACTAGTACCTGGCCTTTCTTGAGGTTCTCCATTTCTGGAGGAAGCCACTGCTTTACTAGGTGGATGCCACTGCACTACTTGTGGTAGCTTGCTCCTCACCAGATCACTTTCAATTGGTAGGCACACTTTCCTCCTCCTCCGATTCTGGAGCAGACCCACTGCTTACAATGGTCTCATACTCCAAATCAGAATCAGACTTGGAGAGCTCCCCAATGCTCTTTTTGGTCATAATTAGAATTTGGTAGGCCTCCTCACAGGAAAGTAATTTTTTAGACATACTGGGACAGATGTGGCTGTACTGCTGGGTGCTGATGAGGCTACGCTGCTGAGTGCTGATGAGGCTGCGCTGCTGGGTGCTGACGGGGGTGCGCT